AATATCTATTATCTCAACTTTTTCCGTTTTTGAATTGTAGGCGTACCAAATTTGTAATAATCTTTTTCGAAGAGAAAGTTATATACGAGAATCAATCAAAATTACTTGCACCCCTGCTTCCAAGTTTGTGTGGTCGTTGGGGGCTTGTGCTTCTGAATATAGACAAACAAGCACAGATAAATTCTATTCCAACTCTTTACTGATGTAAGCTTGATGGCCCTGAAAAGGGCCGTTTTATTGAAGCGGACTTCCATGGCCACTTACGCTTGGCGTGTTTAGTGTAGGTGACAGCATCACGGACCTCATTTTCCAGGAACACCTTCAACACACCTCGTAAATCAAACCGGAGATACGTCAGACACCACCACGGCGAGCCAGACTTTTTTTTTTTTTTCTTTATTAAAGAGATTTTTAGCCATAGGCTAGTTCATCTCTTAAACGGCGAGCCAGACAACGGATGGTGGTTATCATGAAGAATTTGCGTTTGGTTCTGAATATGGCGATGAGTGTGCAAAATATTACGCAATTGCATCCTCCCTATTCGCAAGCGCTCGAGGATCGGAGGCGAATGCCACTTCGACTTGTTTCGTCTACTTACTACTCTCTGACGACTGTGCTGGGGAAGCAGCATATGCATGTAGGTAATTGGTGGATTTGTTAGTTAATTCGACGCTTTTGGACAATGCTGGACATTTACCAGTTTTTCAATAGTTTCTTGTTGAAAATCAACATTCGGAAGCATTGTTATCGATGGGTAGCCATATTTCTGATCGATTGGTGATAAAAGTATCGAAATTGGACCAGGGGCAGCTGAGTTACTAACGTTCAAAATCTTTCTTAATTTGTTACATGTTCCATTTTTGGTTTTCACAAAGTGTACCCCCATATAGAAATCAAAGACGTAGTCCTACGTCAAAAAAAAAACTGAATCACTTCAGGAATGTTCTGAATCATTTGGGAAAGAACTGAATTATTTCAGAAAGTACTCAACCACTTCTGAAAAAAATCGGAATCACTTCATAACGTACTGAATCGCTTAATAACAGTTTGGAATCACTTCGGAAAGTACTAAATCTATCCAGAAAGTTTGTTATCATTTTCGCAAGTATTGAATCACTTTGTAAAAGTTTGAAATCATTTCAGAAAGTACTTAACAACTCCAGAAAAGCTAGGAAACTCTTCGGATAGTAGTGAATCACTTCAGAAAAAATCAGGATCACTTTAAAAAATACTGAATCTTTCCAGAAAGTTCGTAATCACTTCCAGAATAACACTGAATAATTTCACAATGAACTGACTAAGTAACACAAATTCATAGATTTATGTTGAGTAAACTTCTGTACAACCAAAACAAGTCATACCAAGGTTATATTAACTATTATAGAACATGTGTGTTAATTAGGGCTGCCCTTGGAGCCTCCTTTAGCTCAGTTGGTAAAGGTACAGCTACAACGCAATACCATGCTGGAGGGCTTCGATTTTTCGAAATGGAAATTGTTGTTGACTTCCCTGGGCATATAGTATGATTGAATTTGCCACACATTCTAAGTAGCAATTAAGGTTTTATGAGGGTTCTGCAGACTATGATAAAGACTTGTAGCATGCTTTAAAACCGTGATGAAACTTGCATTGTTACTTGGGATTATACTAATGCAAAAATGCAAGCATCCAAAGCTAACTGTGGAAGTGCATCAAGAACACCAAGTTGAAAGCACGGAATAACCTAATGTGCGATCAGAAACAAAGGGCTGTTCATAAACTACGTAGGTAGACAGTTTAGGGGGAGGGGGGGTTGTCAATTATACACGGCCCACACAAATTTAAAAAAATATTGTATGAACAATTGTGTACGCAGGGGGAGGGGGGAAAGAATCCCAAAAACTGTCTACGTAGCTAATGAACAGCCCCTAAGCTTGAAATTCAAAGAACAAGAAGAAGAAGAAGAAGAAGAAGAAGAAGAAGAAGAATAATTAGAAGAAGTATTGCTTGGGAAATCACAAAATCTAAGAATAACCTCGGATAGCACTGAATCACATAAGAAAGTTTCTGAATTACTTCTGAAAGTGCTGTATCAATGCATTCAAGTTTTCAACCTCTTGAGGAAATGAATCTCCTCGAAATAGCTGAATGACTTCAGAAAAGTTTTTAGTTTCTTCAGAAAACATTTGATCACTGTAGAAAAATCAGAATCATTTCAGAAACCATACAATAATTAAAAAAAAATGAAATTACTTCGGAAAGTAGTGAAACACTTTAGAAAATCTCGAAATCAGTTCGAAAAGAATTGAATTACTGCAGAAAAGCTTAAACTCACTTCAGAAAGTTTTGAAACTATTTAGTATAGTACAGACGTAATTGAGCATGAGACTGATTATCCGCTCGCGGATTTTACTTACAAGATCACCTGTATTACACAGACAACCAACAAATTATGTAGGTCAATTTTGGAATGGCTAGGTATGTGTAAACGTGATTCTCTCTTTGTTGTAAACCGAGAAATGCTGCACACTTCCACGAATTCTTAAATACCAAGCTCCACCAAGCTCAATCGATTTTAAATCAGGTCCTGATCATTTTCCCTCAGCTCAGCTACAAAGCAAGACCATGCTGGTAGTGGCTGGGTTCGATTCTCGGTCGGTCTAGGAATTTCGCGGGTTGGAAAGTTTCTCGACTTCACTGGGCATAATGAATGAGTGTACTGGCCACACAGTTATACTAATGCAACAAGGGAAAAGGCATCGACAACTCTCATTTAATAGCTGTGGAAGTGCATTTAGAACACTAAGTTGAGAGCACTATTTTTGATTTCAACCCACAGTGCGTCATCTCGATCCCGAAATTACCAATATTGAAGGGTATTTGACAGTATTTCTCACTTTTCTGAAATTGGAAACTGCCATCTTGGATTTCAAGATGGCGTCGGACATCGATTAGCGGTCCCTAGACGTCACCCTGATTCCAGAAATACAAATAGTGAAGGGTATTTGACAGTATTTCCCACTTTTTCTGAAATCTGGCATCCATATTAGAATGGATGGATTCTTGTTGTGATTCTCCTTTTTGAACGACATTTTAAATTTGGTTCGTTCGCGAATGAAAATAGGCAGAACCCATACATTCGGACATGAACAAAGATTTTTGCTTTGGGGTATAAAGATTTGTTAAGCTCAGAGCCGAGAGTGTGAGTTGTCGTACTTTATCACAGGGAACAGTCTGAGTGACATGGGACTAGAGTAGAGAGTCGTGACTAGATGGGTTCTTGATCTTATCGTGCGACAAGAAATTGTTCCCTGATGAATGCGGGCGTCTTAGTGGAATACCTGTATAAAGATAGAGAGAAGGATTAGTAATTTCCATTTAATTCCACTACCTTATTTGCTTATCCTTGACAGATACGCGTATTTAGTCTACAATGTGCAGACTTCTTCAGTGTCTTGTACTAATACTCGACTATTCGTATAAGACACTGAAGAAGTCTGCACATTGTAAACGAAATACGCGTATCTGTCAAGGATAAGCAAATAAGGTAGTGGAATTAAATAGCAATTACTAATCCTTCCCTATCTCAAGAAATTGTTATTTGTTGAACATTTTCCAGGATGACCATCGTTTTATGTATCTTGTCGTGCGTCAATGAACGACAATTCTCAAGCCTGTAAACTGTTTGGTAGCCAGTAGCTAAGTCTACATGGTAGCCGAAATATTTAATTCAGTCGTTGTTTAGATATTTTTTCCATTAGCTGAAAACAATTTCAACCATTGGTTTTCATGGAAAAAGCATCCCAAATATTCTTCACTTTGTCAAAATTAGTTCCAATGCATACAAATAATGAATTAACTTGATAACTAGAAATGATGACCATTTTGACTATATGATATAAATAGGTAGCTCCTGACAATCGATCACAATCGATCGAGATCAGCTATGGCAGATTATGTACGAGTACGGATTTCCGGATAAACTGACACGATTGGTCAAGGCGACTTTGGATCGAGTGACGTTCGTTGTTCGAGTATCGGGGACACTCTCGAGTCCCTTTGAATCTCAAGGGGGGTTACGGCAAGGTGATGGACTTTCGTGTCTGCTATTCAACATCGCGTTAGAAGGTGTGATCAGAAGAGCTGGGATAGACACGAGTGGCATGATCTTCAGGAAGTCCATCCAGCTTCTTGGCTTCGCCGATGACATTGACATCATGGCACGGAACCTTGAGACGATGGCGGAAACGTAAATCAAACTGAAGACTGAAGCTAGGCGCATTGGTCTTGCCATCAACGCATCAAAGACAAAATACATGAAAGGAAGAGGTTCTAGGGAAGACAATGTTAGCCTCCCACCCCGAGTTCAGATTGATGGCGACGAAATCGAGGTGGTTGATGAGTTCGTGTATTTGGGCGCACTGGTGACCGCCGAAAATGATACCAGCAGAGAAATTCAAAGACGCATTATGGTAGGGAATCGTGCCTACTTTGGACAAAGTTGACTGTCTACAAGACGCTGGTGGTCCTCTACGGCCACGAGACCTGCACTATGCTCGTGGAGGACCAACGCGCCCTTGGTGTTTTCGAACGGAAGGTGTTGCGTACCATCTACGGTGGAGTGCAGATGGATGACGGAATGAGAGGAGGTGAATGAACCACGAATTGCATCAGCTGCTGGGAGAACCATCCATCGTCCACATTGCAAAAATTGGGCGACTACGGTGGGCTAGGAACGTCGTAAGAATGCCGCCGCACGACGGTATGTATGTAAAAATGGTTCTAGAAACCAACCCAACAGGAACAAGAAGAAGAGGCACGCAGCGGGCAAGGTGGATCGACCAAGTAGAAGGTGACCTGCGGACCCTTCGCAGACTACGAGGCTGGTGAAGTGTGGTCATGGATCGAGTAGAGTGGAGACGACTTCTTTGGACAGCAGAGGACAACAAGGCATTAGCCTGATTGGTAATAGTAATGGTTGGAATGGTATTTTTTCACAAACAAATACTTTTAAATGCTGATTGTTCAGGTTTCAGATTGTATTGCAGTATCATATAAAAAAATAAACAACAGGGGAAAAAGCTATTTACAAAAGAATGCCTGCCAAAGTGGGACAGCCATTTACAGCACAGGATAGAATTTGCCTAGCATAGGATTCCGGTTATCACTTCAGGATAGGTACATGGTACACCAAACTGTCACTACTTGATTCCTAAGCCGATTTACAGCACATAGCTAGCTGGCAGAGCGGTGTACGGGCTGAAGGCAGGCAGGGCTGGGTTGAAGGCAGAGTAGGCAGAGTATCCGAACGGAGCTGGAGCAGCCAGGAGTTTGGCAGCTGGAGCCACAACCGGACCAGCGGCAACGTATGGCGCAGCGATGGCATGGTTCACGGTATGTGCATTGTACGAGGTGGCGTATGGTGCGATGACCCCAGTTGCCAGTGGAGCGGCCAATGGCAGGACTCCGGCGGAAACGGTGCTCAGGGCGCAGATGGCCAGGCAAATCTGTGAAATATAGAACAAATGGTTCGTTGTTAGAAGAATGGAATTTCGCTAAAGAGCAACACTGAACTTACCACAATTTTGACAGACATGATGCTTATGGGGGGTTGTTTTGAGGAATTCAAGTGAATTTAACTAACGATGGTGCGTTACTGATGTTTTGATGGGAAATTGAATACGTTTTTATACTGTTGGAACAATTAATCGGACAAGGTACACGAGCATTCCGATATGGGACGAGCTTGAAATGTGTGATTATTGCGTTATGGCTACCGCCTTCATCGTCGTCGGTTGGACTGCTTTCGGGTTGGCTTCCATCCATCTGATTATAATGAAATAGTGAAGAGATATTCAATGAAAAAAAAATTAAACGAACGTGTCCTGCATGACAATTAGGAAGAAGACGAATCAAAGTGTGTAAGCATGGATGTCGGCATTGAGCTAGGGGTGATCAATTTATTGAGTGTGCAAATTAAGTATGGACGGTTTATATCACATTAAATTATTATTTTTTCTTACATAATGAACCTTTGGTACAATACTCATTCAACTCGAAAGGTTTTTGTTGTTTGCACGAGGAAATGTCCCCAACAAGTTTAAGTTCGTATTCGTATTGATGAATTTGCACAGATTCTCGGTGGTCTGGTAAAAGATTTCCATTTTGTTTTGATTTGATTAGGATGAGCCTTTGAACCGTCAAGTTTCCTATTGCAGAATCAACTGGGGATTGACGAAATATTGGAAAATAAATTTGATCATCTCTATGGTTGTAACATATTTTTCATTCACCTGTCGATACTCCTCCGTAAGCAGACCTTTGGGCAAAAGGCACAATACGAGTACTTAATAAGCGCGATGGTTGTCGCTACCGATCAGCTGGTGCACTGAAACCGTGTCCCTTGGTGGTATGCTAATTTTGGTCTCGATTTGTTTTTATTATATAACCACATCTATTACGGGGGAGACCGAAATTGACCTTGATGAGGACGTACGAGCTTGACTGTAACTGAATCCTTGAGCCGTCGTCTGGAGTCAATCACTCTTCTTCGAACCGGTGCTTACTGTTTTGAATTTTGTTTCTGATTCTTCTAGATAGGCTGGATCGTCGGCAGAATTTTTAAACTTTGTCAGCAAGGACTCGATTCCGATGGTGGGTGACGGCACACCTAGAAGGGTATAAATAGTGAGCTTCTTGCTGGAGGAAGACACAGTTCGTCATCCAAGCAGTAATCCAATCACAACAAAGCTAAAATGTTCGCAAAAATCGTAAGTTCTGAACATCATCAGTAAGTCAACAAATCGGTTAACCTGTCGGAATTTTATCAACAGATCTTCTTCTGTGCCCTGGCCATCGCATGCATCTGCGCCAAGCCTCAGTTTCCGGTTGCCTACTCGGCACCGCTTGTGGCCGGCAGCCCATCGTTTGCCTATGCTGCTTCCCCATATGCTGCTTACAGTGCACCCGTAGCTGCCGCCTACACAGCTGCCTCCCCGCTGACCGCCGCCTACACTGCTGCGTATCCAGCTGCCTATCCAGCTGCCTACAATGGTCTACCGTATGCTGCCTACAGCTCGATTGTTCTGTAAATTCTGCCACGGATACGGAGAATCTGATCCGGGATTTCACCAGGGAATGATTTGAACGAATTGATTGGATACACGCTTTGGGACCACTAGATATAATAAAGGCACCGTTTAACTAACATAAGTCGTTGTTTTTAATTTTGTTGGCTTAATTTCCCGAATCTTGAGGCGATAAACAGGACGCAACTTTTCAAAACTTCTCAATAACGAACGTTTTGTTGCAGGTTATTAAGTTTCACTCCAGGTTTAATTTCACAGAGTATCTCTCAGATTAGATGTCATCGAACATATTTTACTCTCTCAACATAGGGTGGAGAACGGCTCCCTGAGACCCTATTCCAAGCACGGGGTTTTAGCGTAGAAAATCCAATGGCGTTCCAATGCATGCGTTTGGATGGAATTGAAACTTGTAGGATGAATTTGGGATCCAGGAGCAGTATTAAGGGAAAAAAAATGTTGTATGTATGTATGTATGTATGTAAAGGATACCACTCATTGTTGCAAGGCACAGCCATTAGACAGTGGATCATCCTCCAAGTATGACTTGATCAAGTACGATACCTGGTTGTATTCAATTTACCATTGTAAGAAGGGCCAAAAACGGAGGGGCGGACCCGTAAGCAGATACACTTACGCGCAATCCGCGGGATCAGGAGAATCGCCTTCCAATGATAAAATCCTACAACCCGATGTAGAACAAGCCATCATACGAGGGAACGTCCCAATGAGTGGGGAGAAGAGCCCGCCGTCAATTCACGAAATGTTAATGACAGGGAGTTGGCAATTCCACTCTCCCCATCCAAATCGCTTCAATCCGGTGCCCTGGTGGTCCCATCCCTCCCCTTTGCATTTAATGTGTGTATATATATATATATATATATATATTTATATCGGCATTACCCGTTAGATTTTGTCAACACAATTTTGCCTTCTTAGCTTTTCAAAATCTTTAATAAATGAAAATCTTATCATCTGACCTATTCCGCGAGTCGTGCGAATCTCCGCCACCAATGAGTCAACATAAGTCACGCACTAGTGGGGTGACTCTCCGTGCAATCAAATGAAGAGTCACCTCACACGAGGCGACCACCGTCACCCTACTAGCGACAGAGAGCCATACTACTCGCAGAACAGGCCTGCAGGTGACGTTTAAAGCTCCACAATTTTACTGAAAATCTAAGAAAATTATTAAACAGAAATTAATAATATAACTGCAGAGCACAAGCAGTTTAAATATACTGAGAACGTGTTGCCAAAATCGAACGGATACTTTTATATGTTTATTAATTTATCTTACCTTGATGGACCAACTACTTACCTGTCCTTAATGGCCATAAGCTCCAATCGGTATTTCCCGGTAAATCCGATCACGATCCTTTACAACATTTGGCCGACACCAACGCGCATCATCGCAACCACTCAGCACTTTCTTCCTCTTCACTAAATTGAAGGGCTTCTAGGGAAACTATTTTCTTGCGGACCGCGTTGCGGTCGGACTTCACTGTTCTTCTCCTTTTTTTCTCGAGAAACATCTAAGAATGTATAGAGATAAAGTTCAAAAATACAGTTTTGACTGATGGTACTTTATAAACGTCAAACTGTTCAATATTGGACCCTGCCAACACACGGCGCCAGCACGGCAATGTGGGCCGTCAGAATGGTTCATCGGTTGCGAAGTGAAGTGCTTCTTAAACTGAAGCGATACATTTCTCAATATTTCAACGTTATCCTAACGTAAACTTAATATTATCACCCATATGCCTGTCCACGCCCGAAACCCATCCACCACACAAAATCAAATAAAAATGTTTCTGTATGGCAAACACGTCCAGACATAAACGAGAATATGGGTGTATATCTTCACTGTAACAACTACGGGTAATCATCGAAAATACTTGCATTTTACTCAGGCATTTTTGAGCAAACTGCAATCACTCTCTCATACTCGTGATGTGCCACGACCAAATTGGCACAACGACGCCCTATACGCTCTCTGACCAAAGCGCAGGGCCTCAATGTGTAAAAACTGGTGATCTCAAACTAGGCAATACCAGCGCCGACCGCGCCCGAACACAGGTCAAGAAAGGAAGGGGTAGGAATGTGTTGACGTGACACTCGCTTTGATGGGAGCCGAGAACACCTCTGCACTTCTACGAGGAATCACTGGGATATTGGGTAATAGGGTTGGGTTTGCAGCAGGGTTCGTTTTGGTAAACGATAAGCTGAATTGATGTCCTAACAATCATATAACGCGAAGGAGCTTGGGATTGAGCCCACGGTCTTCTGCTCAGTAAGCAAAAACGTTTGCCACTAGGCAGACGAGCACCTTTTTAATCACCGATTTGCTGTTGTTACCATGTAGTCATATAGGCCTTTTAATAGAAACTAAACGATTGATTCAACCTCTGGTGGTGAATAGAAGAACGTCAAAAAGAGTGTTGTGAGCATAAATTTTTGCCTTGAGACATAGGAAGCGGAACACTTTTTTACTTTGCCTGATAAATTGATTCATCTGAGATGCTGCAAAACTTAATTTACAGTTGAAAAATTTAATTCTGTAACGTTTTTGAGAAGTTCCTGCTGGTGTTCAGGAATATTTTTGTTGAGAAAAATGGATAATTAGAAAAGTGCCTTAGTGGTTATGATCTTCCGGATTTCTTGTGTGTGAATAGTTAAGGTGCAAATAAGTTCCGATTTGTGGAAAATCGTACAATAAGACAATTACCGATGGAAATTGGAAAGATTTTGAATGAAAAATGCTGTTATTTGCGTTGGGGAAAATACTTATTCTGATGTAAACAAACGATTTGGTTGACGTCTCTTCTGGAACTCGCGTGGCGCACTCTACGTTGGTGGTGCATTAAAAAAGCGTATTAACAAATAAAACGATTGACGAATCTTGATGTGGATGGGCTTGAGATTAGACTCATCATGTTCTGCTCAGTAAGCAAAAACGGTTGCTCTAAGGTCATCGAGCCACAGTGAAATTTACATGCGAAAGGGTCCGAACCTGTTCGATGAGCAGCAGCCCTCGTGGACCGATCCCAGGTAGATACTGATTATTTGTGTATAATAAAGAGTATGAAAGGTATAAATTAGTTTGATGACAGGCAGGGTTGCTTCCACTCACTTGCTATAAAAACATATTTTTCGGAATTATGCAATCATTAAATGATATAATGATATGCCCTACTTGTAAATAACGAGAACAGGGTTTAAAGTATGTGTTTGACTCATAAAACCTACCAATCTTGCTTTCAGAGCGTCACAATAAGCGATCTTATGATTCGTGAGCGGTCACTCAGAGTGAGCACTTATGAGTCGTAAAATTGCTGACTGTGACGCACTGAAAGCAATATTGGCAGATTTTATGTGTCAAACACATTCTTCACGTCCTCATCTTGCAACTTACAAGTACTTATCATCACTATACCATCTCATAATTTCATAATTCCGAAAAACATTCTTTTATAGCAAGTGATTGCAAATAACCCTGATGACAGGTAGCCCCATGAAGCAAAAAACAAATCAATAACATGGGTACTTTTTACTCATGTGCAAAAAAAGCATGAATACTCATTAATGAGTAAAATCGGTTTTACTCATTTCATGAGTTAAGGCCCAAGCGCAATGTGGGCAGAACCGGAACGGAAACGGAAAGTTTGACAGTTGTCACAAATGACATCACGATGCCTAACCGAAGTCGATTTGGTTCTAACTAGTTTTCAATCCGACAAGCAGGCTTGCTCAGATCGGGCTTTTCCGCTGCCGCTGCCGTTACGCTTCCGCTGTCATTGCGCTTGAGCCTTTAAGCCACTTTTCTTCAAAATGGGTTAAACATTTTACTCATTAATGGGTACTTTGGAGATAGCGTGTATTGAATTATATTATTCTCGATAGGCTCTTTTGATGAAGTCGATTTTGAGAGTGTGATAACTTAGGTAGCTCAGAGGTCGCGGGAAGACTAATCCTGTGTGACGAGCAACCATCGATCCCATCTCCCATGTGATAGTATTAGTGACAGGTATAGCCATTGACTATATACTATAGAGACAAAGGGTGTTTGTCCCAGTTGATATAATAGTGTGGTATACAGTAAGTGTCGTCTACCACATCCCCTCTTTTTACTAAATTTAATTTATTTTGGTTTATGTCAATGATTTAAAGATACAAATTCACGTATAAAAATGTATACTTATCTTGTTGGACTGTAGCGGCTTCTGGGCTTGATAACACGCTGCGGTCGGCGAATAGTAGACTCGTCTACTCCAGAGGCAGAAGAACTTGAAGGTTCCGCTTCTGGTTGACTTCCGGTTCCGGATGATTCGTCGATATTATCATCAGATGGCAGGGACAGCCTCTTTAAATGAGATACGTTGCGGTCATACTTTTTCCCTGTATCGTTGGATTGCACGGTTACGTTTGATCGAATTCTGCTCAACACAGTGAACTTCTCTTTCAAGAAGTTAGTTGCCAGTTTGTTCGACGGGAGCAGATTTTTCATAAGAACAACATCCCCCACTGAGATGTCACTTGGCTTTGCTCTACGCCTGGTATCTTCCCGCTCTTTCTGTAGCATCTTTTTCTCGAAATCCCGATCTCGAAAATCAGAGCTAGGAGGTGTTGTTTCAAAGTCTTCAATTTGGGGAAGCTTAGATCGCAATTTCCTCCCCTGAAGTAGTTCACTAGGTGCTTTCCCAGTTATAGTATGTGGAGTGTTGTTGTAGAGCTCCAAAAAACTATCGAGTTCCACTTTCCAGTCATCGTAAAGTGCATGAGCAATTTTCATCCTTTTAAGGAGTGAGCGATTCTGTCTTTCGACTTCGCCATTGGCTTGTGGCCAGTAAGGCGATGTATGGTTAAGATGTACTCCAATGTTCCTAGAAAAGTCTTCAAATTCCGTTGACACGAACTGTTTTGCGTTGTCTAGAGTTATTTTTCTAGGAGGGCCCCATGTCCTAAAAATTCGTTTCAACCGCTTAATAGTTTCTTGTGCTGTAATTCGTTGCATGACCTCGATTTCCATGTAACGGCTAAAATAATCGATGATTACTAAAAGGTATTCCCCCGTTGGCATAGGTCCAAGAAAATCAATTGCAACATCGACCCAGGGTTTCTCCGGAA